TCAACCCCTCTCACAGGTTTCAACCTTGAGGCGAGGTGACACCGTTGAGCAACGTGGGGTTCTTTCTAGTTAATTGTGATTTAATGAGCAGTGAGGTAGAATTGTTGAGATGTGATTTGACGTATTTTGTGAGTCTTCATCGATTTTAGTTGTGAGCAGGTCCCTTGCTTTCAATTCAGGCAAAACAGCCAGACCAAAAGAGAATAGAATGGTCGAGTTTGGGCACAAAAAGATCAACTTGTTTGTAATATTGTTTATATATATATATGCTAGCCCCCCCCCAAAAAGAAGCTACCTGATGGTTGTACCATATGTATATATAATATGTTACTGCGAACCCTCACTATTTGTTTTGCCAGCGTACGAAGCATACGAAGAGTCTCCCCTTCTCCAACATCACAGCAGAATACCTGAGAAACTGCGCATGTTCTATTTGTAAATTCCTGCGTATTGTCAGCTTTATCAAGCTTTTTTCCGGCAATATCCTCGAAGGTCCCTAATTGGCCTCCAAGAAGCTGAGATGGTGGAATCTAAATCGGTAGACCGCTGGGAGGCATGAAGAGGATTCACAAGAAGACTGCCGTCAGGGGATCTCAGTTGCAAAGCGGAGGGATGGCAGAAGCGGGCGTTTTAAGTGAGTTGTTTGTAGGTCTTTGATACAGGCCAAGTAGCATGAACCATACCACTTCACTAGCAAGTAGAATGAAATGTTCTTGGAAAGCAGTCACAGAATCATGGGCCGTGCAATGATAAAACATATGAGGCTTTTAAAAAGAAAGTTGGGGCCGAAAGGTGTTATGCAGTGCAATTGAAAGCCGATGATTGGGAGCGTCCGCAGTTGGTGTGGCTCGTTGAGATTCAAACACATGGCTTCTCCGCAGAAGAAGCAAAAGGTGGCTCCAGCAGCGGTGGCGCCGCAAGAGGTGAAGATTGAGGTGGGGCACGTGGTGCACGGAAACAGGTGAGAAGTAAGAATCGCAGATACAACCAATTTGTTGTTTGTTCTAGTGCTCAGCACGCAGTATATGTGCAGAGACAGTGGTTAAGTGGGATGAGTTGGTGGTGTTCTCTGGCAGAAAGTGGCGGACCTGTATACATATTCAGCGGACCTCTTGCTGCAGAGCACCTTCTCCTTTGACGCGATGCTCGTAGACATCTCCAAAGTTCGGACTGCCAACTCGAAGCTGGTATGTGATGTGATTTGATTGCAAGGATGTGGGCAGGTTATATTGGGCATGGGGGGGGCAAGGGGTGTGAGTGCTTTATTGCTGTGTGAGGTTACATTGGCTGACGCTGGAGGATTGATCTCGGGAAGCCTATGGGGAGCTTCGACTAAGAGTGCAGGTGCGCTTCAAGCAGCGTTGGACGCTGCGCCGTCGGGAAAATGGCCGGCTGTCAAGGTGGAGAAGGTGATATTGCGTATTGTTGGATACCTGCATGGAGAGGCACATATTCGGAAGCTGGAAGGGAGCGATGCGACCAAGATCACTGTGGTATCTAAAGAGTGTGGTGATTTGAAGATCACGCCGCCAGAGAGCATCGTTGTAGCCGACTTTCAAGACCTCTGGGACTGGAAGGCTGGAAGGCTGGAAGATGTACGAAGTTTAAACTTTTTTGGTTTCAGTTGCTGGGGTGGGGTCGAGTTTCTGCAGTCGGTGGTGCTTTCAGTGATGGAGTTACTTAGGTACGGAAAGTGGATTTGTATAGCAATCATTCCGCGCAGACGACGGCCGGAATTGTCTCCTTGTTTTGGCAGATTTGTTGTCCCATTGTTTGTGTGTCGCCCTTGTGCTGGGGAGAGTGCGTCCACGTGAAGGGCTTCGTGACTAACCTTGGAGGCGTGCAGCGTTCCAAGGAGAAAGGCAATCCGTTTCAGGCCAGGATGAAAATGAAATTCCAGGGTAGGATTAGTGGTTTGAGTAGCGGTACGGGTGCTTTGGGACGCAATGGAAATTTTGAAATAGTGTTGCAGCCTAATTGTACCAGTTTCAGATTTGACAGTTGAAGATTTGTCAGGAGCTGATGATTGTGGATAGCAGCGGCCGCGCTGTAGGAGTCATTGCGCACGGCACGCAGGCTGCGGATCCTGCGTTGGAGGCCAGTGAGTGAAGCGCGAGATGAAGCCTATAAGCCCTTGGATGGCTAATCACTAGGTTACAGGGGTTTAGCAGAGGTGTTGCTTTGCAAAATCAAACTAATTGCAAGGGTGGAGTTTTGGTTTTGTAGGCTGATGCGGTAACTTTGCAGGAGGGAGCGGAGGTCATTGCTTTTTAACTCCAACGAGGGAAGCAAGGGCGTGGGCGGGCAGATCCGGACCATAAGAAGAAACTATGGGCCTTCGATTCATCTTTTTTCTTGCGATTGAATGCGATTGAATGAGGAGACACAGGAGGTCGTGATCGCGGAGGAGGTATCTTATTAGTGAACGATGGAGTCAAGAGCAAATGCAGTGCTCGGCATAGAGGATCCCTGAACAGCGCGCAAGCAGAGGAAAGTAGTTGTAGAACATTGAAAGAAAGTTGAAATCACAGATGTAGTGAACCAGGGATTTATCTAGAAGGAGCTTTGCTTGAGCGGGTCCTCGGTAATGGCTGTGTACAGCTTCCGGCTTGGTAAAGAGCCGGGGGTATCCTGCGGACAGCTTGGAATCGTTCGCGTGCCTCGTGGCGTGAAACAGGAAGAGTTTCGTGGACCGGGCTTGTATTTGTCCAGACTGCCCTAAAAAGTGTTGAAATATAGTAGGGTCGGAAATGTATAACCCATCAATTGTAGAGCTGCAGATACTGTAACAATGAGTATGGATATATAATTTTCCATGAGCCGTGTGGCATCTTGTTGTGAAGAAGGTGTGTGAAGAGTAGCAAGGACATGAACCATGATTGAGCAGAGATGTGTGTAGTGCCAGGTGAACACAGGTTGAGTAATGGAGGATCGGGCTTGCAGGGGATATGGAGTGAGTGGGGCGCTGGCAATGCTTCGCTTGGTGAAATTCATTGGGCAGTTGGAGGGCGCAGTTGCGAATGCCTGGGAAGCTGGCGACCATGCAGAGTTGGGCAGTTGCTTCACGAAGGACAGCATCGGGAACAGAGAAGTGAGGATGTCATTGAAGGAGGGTAGGGTTTCGTGAGGTTTTTGTTGTGGAGCAGGAGTGCGGCGTGGAGGTGACGGTGCTGAGCAGCGAGAAGGACATCTTTGTGAAGATGCGCGAAGCTTCTGATGCAGCTGCAAGGGTGAAGGTGAGCAAGCTTTTGGGGCATGGTTTGAATTGGACGAGGCGGGTGCGTGGGGGGGTTGGCAGCAAGATGGAAACAGAGCGTAAAGTGTAGGTTAAGTTGTTGAATCCTTTGACAGAAGGTCGCAGAAGCAGATGTGATGGAAGTGGAGGCAAAAGAGGAGGACAAAGTGCGCCAGCGTGAGGTAATGGTCCGATTCTACAAGCGCCAGAGTATGCCGGGACGTTCAGGGCTCGGGCTTTATTGGAGAAGTATTTGCGTTTTGGTTATACGTTAGATGAGAATGTTGGGTGGATGCGGGGGATTTGGGTCTGTGGTTGTTTGGTGCTTTTTGCGTCCTGGAAGTTTTTGAGGCCAGCTCGGGTGCGCGTGGATTTCGCAATTGCATTGGGCGAGGGGAGCAGTGCGAAACTGCGCATGCAGTGCAGGGACTTGGATTTAAAGCGCTTCAAGGAGATGTTGTGTTCTGTGGGCACTGTTGCGGAGTTGACGCAGGGTGAGATGGCCAAGCAGGAGGAGGATGGTGTTTTTAAAAGGTATGTTTTATCAAGAAGAAGGGAAAGGGGTTGGATGTTTATGTTTGAAGAGGGCATGGTGTATATGGAGTCGCAGGTGCGCGCAAAGACGCGGGAAGCGAGTGCGTCCCTCACCAAGAGCGAGATTTGCTGTCCCGTTTGATGGAGAAGTATCCAGATGGAGGCCGCGATAGCAAGAGGCGCAGGGTGATTGGTCATGCTGTGGAGGTTATTGCGACGTGTGGCTTGGCTGTGGTTTCCAAAGATGTGGGGTGCGCAGGTGTGTAGCAGGTCGGGAAGAGCCGAGATTGTATGTTTGAGCTCAGGCGCCCGTGTTAAAGCTGCGCAAATGCATCATGCGCAGCAGAGCGTTTTGGATCAAGAAGCCCTTTGGCGGATTGGGTTGCGACTGCAGTTGCAGCTGTATTGTAGTTGTGTTTTCAAGTTGTGTTTGCTGTGCGAATGTATGTGCTTAGTGGTGATGAAATGCTGGATAAGGCTCCGGAAGCAGAAGACAACCGGTAGAGCGCGAAAAATTGTGAGACGGAGGGGTGAGCAGTGGGCCGAGATCATGAACAGAGTTGAAGCCGAGCAGAAAGAAAAGCTAAGACATGTCCACGGGAAAGTAGAGAAGGGTTGCAAATGAAGCAGCTTGGCTTGAACGGTCTTGGGACAGCCGTTGCGAGATTCAGCGCCTTCGCAAATGCTTTGGGACGTGCCTTGTGCGAAGCAATATTGCAAAGTGTGGAATAACGAGTCGAAAAGCTTGAGGAAATGTCAGTTGCTAGAAGGTGCAAGCATGTAGGCTTGCAGTGAACCAGCGAGAGTGGCAGAAGAAAGCTTCTACATGGAGGCGTCCCAGCGAAGGGGTTTGACAATCCCCTACCCTTGTGTGATGTTTGATGTGTGGCTGCGTGGAGTGGTGCAACGTGTACAGTGTCCAGAAAAGATGGGTCGTGTTTGGTAACATGGAGTTGACGATGTAAAAAGCTTTGTGCCTGGAATGGACGAAAGTATTTGGCGCCCGCGCGCAGCCCCCAGCCCCAGTGAAAAAAAACACCATTGTGATCGTTATGTGTAGATAGCAATTCCACCATTGGATTTGAGCTGGAGGCAAAATGGTTTGGGGAGCGTTCCTTGCAAGCGGTCCTAGCAAGTTACCAGTTCGCTGTTTCGGCGTGCTATTGTTTTGTCTCAGTGCAACGTGCTGTATTGCTCAGGTGTGACCGTGATCAGGCAAATCTTGAAGTTGGTAAGAGTAAAGGAAAGAAACTGTCAATCAAGCAGCAGCGTGCAAGACGCAAGAGGAACACTTGTTGGCAATCCATAAAACGCATAAATCAAGCATAGTAAAACAGATAATTCAAGGTGCCAAGAAGTATAAGGGCAGTTTTTGTATTTTGAGTCTTTTTTGTCTTTTCTTAGGGGAAGTGGAGGTTTGCTCCTGGACTAGTGGGTTCTCCGTATGTAGAATCAAATGCTGAACGTGGTGACTTGAAACTTTTGCAAGGCCCAACTCTTGTTTCACCCATTGCCTGGAATATTCTGTCACCCTGTAAGGCCACGATCGGAATTTCAGCAACCTCAGGCCCAGGATGTGTGCAAATTGCAAACATAAGGGCCTACGACTTGTGAACTGATTCATCAGGGCCTATGACCCATGCATCTTCAAATTGATTCGAACGACGATCGTGTTATAGTTTTGAGCTCTCGGGGAAGGTGGCGTGATTGGCCGGCTTGTTTTTGGCACTAGGACACTTCATATGTTGCTTACATGAAGTTTTAGGGATGGAGAAAGAGACTAATTTGAGGATCGTTGGAGGGAGGTTCAAAAGGCACCCGTAAATGTTTTCCTGTTTTCCTTGCATCAGGAAAAGAGAGTGGCGCAAAGAAAAGTACTACCACAGTGGAATTGCCCGAAGGCTGGAGGGCTGCGCGTATTCTTGCTACAAAATGTGTTGGGGTAAAGCTTGGGTGCAATTTATCCTACTTGCTGAAATCAGAACCCCTTACATTTCATTTTATAGAGACATTTGTTTTTTTAAACTCACTTGTTAATCACTTGTCTGGGTACTCTTTCCCTGGGAATGACACTATGATATGAAAATCCAAGCAAAATATGAAATGAGTAATGATTAGTTTTTGTTAGGCAAGATTTTGTCAAATCTCCTGATCTACGGTAGATAAGAACACATGGTTGCTTATTTTTATAAACTAAAGACAATCTCAAACAACCATGTTAAACTTCACTCTGTATCACTATGCTAAAGTCTTTGGATGAAAGCGTAGACAGTAGAGGACAGTAGTCATATCATCAATATTCAATCTGCTGTGCGGCTGTGCGTGTTCTTTTCTTGCAGGTGAGCAGCCGAAGAAGAAGAAGCAGAAGTGCAAAGAGGAAAAGGAAGGCAAGCAGCTTCAGACAGAGCGCAAACGGACATGATTGGAAAGCTTGCAGGCTTTGTTGAAAATGGCGTGTCAAGCCACGCCCAAATTCTTTGATGTGCTATCCGATTGTATCACACAGGATCTCGGATGAAGTCCGATTGCGTTGGGCAGAGGGGAAAAATGGAGGAGAAACGAAATGAAATGAATATATATATATATAT